TCTTCCTGCCATGCCTTTTTTATTACTGTAAGTGTCTCCTTTTCTCAAGTGTCTAAGGTTCTTCATTTCTTTTCCATTGGGTGTTTGCTTTTGCTGTTTTTCACAAGTTTTATAGTTTGCCATCTATTTGATTTCTATGGGAAGGGATCTTAGCTAACTTATAGGCTTTTTCTCTGTATCCCATGTGTGTAATTTTATCCTTCCTTTGTTGTGGAGAATAGGCTGGCTTCAGCTTTTTAATGGCCCTATTGACAAGGGTGGGGGCTGAATCCCTGCTTGAGTTTCCACTTCTTTCTTTTAGGGGGGATTTTCCTGCCCCTTTAATATTTTAAAATTTCTTTTCTTTTCCTAGGAGAGGAGTGAATCACAACTTCCAACACAGTGTTGGTGGAAGACAAAGGGAATAAACCTATTCAAAAATATATGTTGTTTTGGAGGAAGATAAGGGCACAGTTGGAATATATTGTATATCTTTTAATTGTTATAGAAGAAAAAATGTAGGGAAAAAAAGGTCTCCGGGTGTACTGTAATATTTGTATTTTTTCTTTTTCTTCCTTTTTTTGAATTTCGGTGTACATGTACATGTATAGTTGATTTACCAGCACACTTAGGACCAAAATTTCTGTTACTAAGCCAGGCAGTTGTTAAGTGAGTTTTGCCCTCTTTTATGACCTTACTTGCCTCAGTTGTTACCTGAACCTCTGCAGTTGTTGAGTTAGTAACAGCTGTTGAGTTAGTGATGGTGAAGGGAATCTGGCTTTTCTATTGACTTTGCTTGCCAGATGGTGGCAACAGGTGATCACATGACCACAAGATGCTGTGACAGTTATAAATAGGAGTCAGTAGCCAAGCACCTGAATTTTGATGGTGTGAGTGTGGGGATGCTGCAACTCTTGTGTGAAAAGTGGTCATGAATCACTTTTTTCAGCTTTGTTGTAACTTCAAATGGTCACTAAAGGAATGGCAGTAATTCAAGGACTACCAGTATATGTGTGACTCAGAGAATTGGACTCTGCCGCTTTTGTTGGTGCCAAGCCAGACCAAGAACTCCTGATTAACAACTCAGCACAACTCCCTGGATATGGGAGGAGGTCAAGCTCTGTGGTCCTTTAATGCACACATACATAGCTGAGATAATCTGCCTCAGAATCCAGTCCCTGGTCCTTCCACACCTTTCAGTTTTCCTCTCACCCAGGACAAGCTTCTGTGTGTTGTTGCTGTGGCTGCAAAATTAACCCAGTGTTGCATTCGACCAACATATCCAAGGTCCAGCCCATCAGTGGACAATGTCTTCAAAGAAAAAAAAAACCAAGAAAGTCCAGTTGCCTCCTGAAAAAACACCTTTGGGGCAACCATGGCCTGGATGACGGGACATTCTGGTTTTTCTTCAAAGAGCTGAAGAAGCTTCTTGGATGAGAAGTGAAACCAGAGGTGGTATTTAGCAGGTTCTGACCGGTTCTGTACAACCGGTAGCGGAAATTTTGAGTAGTTCAGAATACCAGCTCAGACTGGCCCCGCCCCCTTCTATTCTCTACCTCCCAAGTCTCAGCTGATCGGCTGAAACTTCTTTTGTTGCCCTGCACAGGAGAACAGAGCTGGAAAGCAGATTAGTGGGGTGGGGAGGGAATGGGATTTTGCACAGTAAACTTCCCCTGAAGTGGGGTGGGAATGGAGATTTTACGGTATCCTTCCCCTGCCACATCCACTAAGCCACACTCACCAAGCCATGCCCACAGAACTGGTAGTAAAAAAGTTTGAATCCCACAGCTGAGTGAAACATCTTCAAAGAAAAACCAGAAAGTCCAGGACTTCCGGTGGCGTTTCCGTCGAAGACTGATCAGAGACCGCAATTGTGCATGGCTTTGATCTGTGTTTACCTTGTTGGAGGGGTCCCTGCGGGACCAGAACCATCTTACCCACCTCAGAGGGGTGGGGGAAGAAGGGGAGACTGCCAGCTGGTTCAAGGGGAGCTGCATCTTCCCTCCCAAGCTAGGTATTAACTCTACTGGAAGACAAGCTGAAACGGCAGTTTAATGGCTACCCTGAAGACAGAAAGCTACCAGGACCTAAGTATGCACTGGGGTGATGAAGTGGTGAGCGACGTGTAACCAGATAAAAGAACTATTTTTTTTCTCAATAACCCCGAGAAGCAGAAAGAAAGAGCCCTCACTTAAGAGTATGACAGCGGTGAACAGAAAATAAGAGGAAATATAAGGTAAACAAAATTGGATTATAAAAAGCTACAACAAAATTAGAGACTAAACTTGGAATAATATATATAATTTGGTATTAATTAGACATTGGACAAAATGCTGGCCTGGAATTGACTATATTTAAGACAGCTAATAGTGGAAATGGTTCAAATTAACATTAATGTAATTGAAAAGAGAAAAGAAAAGAATTTTGAAAAGTAGAAAGTGATACAGAGCACCATTTAATAGTTAAAGATTTTTTAGTCATGATTTTATGGAAAATTACTGGTCTTATAATTGTTATAAGATAAAAGACTAACAAAATAACAAGAACCCCAGAATTTAAAAAAAGGGGGAGAAATTGTAAGAGGATAAATGAATGCAATATCCTGTGATTGTTGGATGTTGATTGTGATAAAGAGACAGAAGAGACAGAAGGATTAATAAGGGCAATAGAGACAAAAGGAGACCTTTGGCAAGGATCGGAACAAAAGGCTTTGAATTTTAATAACTCAATTGATTTTTAAAAAATGGAAGAAATAAGCAAAGACTTTAAGTCGGAATTGTAAACTGTGAGAGGAATGCTGAAAGAAAGAAGGGATTTACTGGATATGCTGACAAAATAAATAATGGCGATGCAGTCCGTAGCAGAACAAAGGAATTTCAAAGAGGAGGAGTTAAAGGAAGAGGAAAGTGACTCAGACAAACATGGAAAACAAGAGATATTGCTGAAAGACATTAAAGGAACTAAAACTATGACAATGATGACAGAGTTAACAAATAAAAGAGAAAACGGTCCCAGGATTAAACAAAAGAAGAAATTTTACAAGAAGAAACTTCAAAAAAGACAACAGGAAAGGGTGGGGGAGAAGATGGGTGATTGGCAGATGGAAATAAAAAGGAAAGATCGGGAAAACTTAGAAGAGGGAAAGTTAGTTGAAACCAAGAGAAATGACAAGGCCGAGAAATTTAGAGATAAGGGTTAGATAAGATATAAAAGGGGGATGCCACATGGGAATGTATTTGGGTATTTTATATTAGAAATTTAAAATGGGAAGATTTGAAATTCAAAATTTATTGGGAATTACCCTACGAGTATTATATAACTATATAGGAGAAGAGTGAAGATGAATTATGTTATAATTAAAAGTAGGGGAATGAAATTTTATTTAAATTACGGGTAAAATTTGGTTATGTGAAAATAAAGAAAAAATATGAAATGGTTATATGAATAGTGTTGGAATAAATACAAGATACAGTATATTGTAGGTTGAGGAATATGCCATGTGGATCCTAAATACATTAATTTTACTCTAATTTTACTTTTTTTTTTAGTGTTTATTATATATTGGTCTTGAGTTAATTAATGAAGACAATAATGTATAAGGTAAAATGAAATAGACGGTAAGCTGAAAATGGAAATAATAGGGGATAAGGAATTGAAAATAAATGTGAGGAAATAATTTTGATATTCAATTAATGAATTAAAATATGAAATGGAAATTTAATTGAAAAATAGTAGAGTGGATAATAATTTGATGTGATATTAAATAAAATTGAAAATGTAAGTATAATTATGTATAAATGTTGTAATCTGGAATCACGTTACTCACATGAAGAGATGTGTAAAAAACAAAAACAAAAGACTTTTATTAAAAAAAACCCAGAAAGTCCAGTTGCCGCTTGAAAACACCACTTTTGGTAAGTGCTTTATGCTGGCTATGCTTTAAATTCTAATAAACCTCTGAATCCTAAAGGGAGGCTTTTGTGGGCTGCTGTCTGTTCAATTTTTATTAAGTGCAGCTATGCTCATGATTCCGTTTTTTTCTCCTGACAACCATATCTAGTTCTATCTGAGTTTGATCTGATTGGAATACAACCATAAAATACAGGAAAGTTGCATGCAGGATTCAAAAATAGGAAAAAGTTGAAAGAAACAGCTTTCTGAGGGTAAAGTGGCAGGGGTGAGCTTCAAAAATTTTAGCAAGGGATTCTCTGCCAGGTTGCTGGATGGGCGGGGCCATGGTGGGTGTGGCCTAGTCGGCTTCCTGAACCATGATTGTGTGTGTGGGGGGTGGCGTTTTTGCCCTCCCCAGGCTCCGGAGGCTGTCTGGAAGCCAAGAATGGGACCACTTCCGGCCTTCCCAAACTTCCGGGCGCCCTGTTTTTCGCCCTCCCTTAGCCTCCGCATGTTCCCTGCACTTACCTGCATCCAAAACAGGCCACGTGGGGACTCCTGGGAGGGGCGGGATGGGCAGGGCCAGCCAGGAGTGGAATTTGGGCGTACAGAATGCACAGAGGGCCTCTCCTGAACCCCCAGCAGCCACCCTGTAATGTGGCAAATATTTAGTGTGACGTCCCCTTACACTTTGCTCCTCTAAACCTAATTGGACTGGAACCTCACATGCTGTCATTGCAATCACCTGTGTATGAGTCCTACTGTTAAATGACTGCTGTCTATCTTTTGCAGCAAGTTTGTGCAAGACATATTTATTTATTTATTTATTTATTTATTTATTTATTTATTGTAAGGCACTCAAGAGTTATTGGAACTTAGCTCTGCTTATTCCTTCAGGGTGATTTGCATTATTTGAATGATTAGTCTGAGTCTAACTAATCAACTATAATTGTGTCCTGGCCTATTGTAAACTTTACTCTTCCAGCTACTAAATTCAATATGGTACGTGTTCATATTGGAAGCTGGAGGTTTTTCATTAAGAAGAAGACTTGCATGTAATTCATTGAAGTGTTCATTGTTAGGAATATTCATGGAATTTGTTGTTGTTTTTTTCCCCTCCCTTTGTCAGGATTTGGTATCATTTGAGGATGTAGCTGTGTTTTTCCCCATGGAGGAGTGGGCCCTGCTGGATTCTGAGCAAAAAGCCCTGTACCGAGAGGTCATGCTGGAAAACAAGAGGAACAAGGCCTCCTTAGGTAAGGGATTCTGTTAAGATATTTAAACTTTTAGGAGCCAAAGGTCAAATGTTTTATAATCTTAATAGCAAGCATAGCATCATGTTTGAAACAAATGGGAGTTTGGAAGAATATTGATACTGTTCAAATACAGCAATGGTGCTTAATCGCTTTTGCACTAAATGTTGTGTTAACTTTTATTTCTTTTTTTCTGTTGCAAGCAGGTGATGGATGGGAGATGGAGGATTCTGGCCAAGAGGCCGCAGCATCTTCGCTAAAAGACAAAAAGGAAGTTGCAGAAAAGATGTATGGAAAGCAAAGTTCAGAGGAAAACCAGTTAACAGGGGAGCTGGAGAACTGCTGTGGTTTACCATGTGCAGATACCAATGTCTTACTGGACACAGATGATAGCCATGAAAAAGAAGTGTGTTCAAGGTGTGGGAAAACACTCTGTAATGAATCTGGATCATGTGACTGTTGCCAAAGCCCTGCTGGAGAGAAACAAGATGAAAGCAGGCAACACCCCAGAAGGAGCCTTCCTCCTCCTTTACATGAAAGAATAAATGAAGGAGGGAACCCATACAAATGTACAGAGTGTGCAGAAAGCTTCGGTACAAGCTGCTTCCTTTCATTGCATAAAAAGATTCACAAAGCAGAGGATCCACACATATGTCTGGATTGTGGAAGGACCTTCAGGCAGAAAAACCATCTTAATTCACATCAGAGGGTCCACAAAGAAAAGAAACATCATCAATGCATCCCCTGTGCAAAGACCTTCGGAAGCAGCGCCTCCCTTACTTCCCATCAAAGCCTCCACAGAGAGGAGAGGTTGCACGAACTCCGGGAGGGTAGAACAAGGTTTACTCAGAGCAAGGAACCGAATTCCCGGAAAAAAAGCCCCACTGGGAAGAAATCATGTAAATGCCTGGAATGTGGGAAGAGCTTCTGCTCTGCAAGTGACCTCACTTACCATAAGAGGATCCATACAGGGGAAAAGCCATATTATTGCACAGTGTGTGGAAAGAGCTTTGCACAAAAAAGCAATTTCAATTTACATAAGAGAATCCACACTGGAGAGAAGCCGTATAAATGCACAGAGTGTGGGAAATGCTTCAGTGCCCCTTGTACACTTTCTTCCCATAAGAGGATTCATACAGGGGACAAACCCTATAAATGCTTGGAGTGTGGAAAAAGTTTCAGCAGAAGCGGCACTTTAACCATACATCATAGGGTCCACACAGGGGAAAAGCCATATCATTGCACGGTGTGTGGAAAGAGTTTTGCACATAAAGACAAATTAAATTTACATAACAGGATACACACTGGAGAGAAGCCGTATAAATGTGTAGAGTGTGGAAAATGCTTCAGTGTCCGATGTAATCTTGCTTCCCATAAGAGGATCCACACAGGGGAGAAACCCTATGAATGCCTGGAGTGTGGAAAAAGCTTCAACAGACGTGATACACTAATTTTACATAATAGGATGCATAAAGGGGAGAAACCTTATAAATGCCTGAACTGTGGAAAGAGCTTCAGTCAAAAAGTTCATCTTAAGTCACATGAGATGATCCACACGGGAGAAAAACCATTTCAATGCATGGAGTGTGGAAAGAGCTTCCAATGCTCTGCACACCTTACTGCCCATCATAGAATCCACACAGGGGAGAAGCCCTTTCAATGCCTCCAGTGTGGAAAGCGCTTTGCCAGTTCTGGTAGCCTTCATGCCCACAACCGGACCCACACAGGGGAGAAACCATACAAATGCCTGGAGTGTGGAAAGAGCTTCCGTAAATCCGGCCACCTAACTTCCCACAGAAGAATCCACAGTGGAGAGAAACCATATCAATGCACCAAGTGTGGGAAGCGCTTCAGTCAAGGAAGTAATCTTACTCTCCATAAAAGGACTCACACGGGTGAAAAGCCCTATAAATGCATCGAGTGTGACAAACGCTTCGCCAGTTCAGGTTCCCTCACTTGCCACAAAAGGTTCCACACTGGGGAGAAACCATATGAATGCCGGATGTGTGGAAAGAGCTTTAATGAAAAAAGTAGGTATATCATACATAGCAGGACCCACACTGGGGAGAAACCATATCCATGCCAGGAGTGTGGAAAATGCTTCACTGAGTCTGGAGCACTGAGGATCCACACAAGGATCCACACAGGGGAGAAACCCTATCAGTGCACGGAATGTGGCATGAGTTTCAGGAGAAGTGGTTGCCTTGGTAAGCACAAGAGAATCCACACTGGGGAGAAACCGTATACATGTCATGAGTGCGGAAAAAGCTTTAGACGTAATAATTCACTCAGGAGCCATAGAAGGCTTCACTCAGGGGAGCAACCCTATAAATGCCTGGAGTGTGGAAAATGTTATAGGGAGAGTGGCCAGCTTACCTCCCACAATAGGATCCACACAGGAGAGAAGCCATTTAAATGCATTGAGTGTGGAAAGGATTTCAAAGATGGCAGGAATCTTACACGCCATAAAAAAATCCACATGGGAGGAGCCCTATCAGTGTGTGGAGTGTGGAAAGAAATTCAGAACCTGGAGTAATTTTAATTGCCATAAGAAGACACATAGCAGGAAAAGATGATGTAAGGCGTAAACATCAAGATTGGTGGGGAGGGGGTGGACCTGCCTCACGCACCCCTTACCCACTTACCTGAGGACTGCCACAGTCAGACCTCCCATACCCTGACACCTGTTGCGCTGCTGCCCGACTTTTGCAACCGGTTACGGCAGCTTGCACGCACGATGCTGCGTAGCTCATTTCTCCAGTGCTGCTCTTCACAGCAGAATGCCACAAGGCTCATCGTGCTGGTTCCGCTGTTCAAGCATGCAATAGCACAATGCACAACGCAGAAGATACCGAGTAGCAGCCGTGATAGGTGTTGGGGCAGTGGAGGCGTAGCTGCTGTAGTCCTTGGGTAAGTGGGTAAGTCCTGGTGCTTATTTTGGAGTAGAAAAGAATATAAGACTGGGTCTTATTTTGGGGGAAACACAGTATGTAAAACTAAAACATTTTGCTTTGATGTTATTACTGAACCAAGGAATCAGAAGCTGTTTCCTTTTTCCTTTCCACATTTCCCCCTTTTCTCATAGAGATAGACATAGAGGTACAGAGAGAGGGGAGAGATTTCCTTGGCTTACTTTTTCTGCACAATAAAGTTTTTGCTTTCAACCTTCTCTTCCATGTGTTCCGTTTGAAGCCTTGACATATCTGGTAACGGACTCAGCATTGGGGTAGGAAAGGTGCCATTCAACCCAATGAAACAGCTTGCCCTCGGAAGTTGTGGGAGCGCCATCACTTGAGACTTTCAAGGAGAGATTGGACTGCCCTTTGTCAGAAATGGTGTAGGGTCTCCCGCTTGGGGGTGGGTTGGATTAGATGACCTCCAAGGTCCCCCCCAACTCTGATTATCTGTTATCTGTTAAGGTAACGAAAAGCAAAAGGGTCTTTTTGTTCGGGGAGATCTTTTTCCTTCTTTCAAGCACACTGGAAGTGCAGTTCTTGAGGAGGAAATGGCGGATATGCCAGAATCCCTGCAAAGGTCAAGCAGGCTCTATATCAGGGGGTGAAACTCATGGTGTCACATGACATTGGGAATTATCAGGAGTTTTTTCCCCTTTGCTAAACCGGGCAGGGGGCCGGTCCAACACGTGATGCATCCAGCCCACCAGCTGTGAGGCGTTTTGTTTTTTTTTGCCTCCTGGGCCTCAGGGAAGCCTCCAGGGAGCAAACACGGGTTAGGGTGTCTTGAAGAAAAAACAAAGTCCAGTTGATTTTTGAAGAAAAGCACCTTTGGGACAACACCTTCAGGCAACATAAGGCTGCAGAAAGCTGGCTTAGACTAGAGAAGATGTTGAAAGATTTCAAGAGGAAACATTGCAATCTAAGTGGTGAGGTCCAGACCTGGTGGTGTTGGCTCCGCACATTTCACTAATGTTGGAAGGAATCGAGCAGTGGATCTACTACTACACCCATGTGGAGAAAGTCAGGCCAGAACAAAGAGAAGCAGGATCTCCAGTGAGCTCTTCACTGGGAGAAATTGACGGAAGAGAATGAACTAATGAACAAATACAAGACTCAAGAGTTGTGTCAAAAGTGATAACTGGAGGGATGGCGCTGTGGGTCTGCACCATCTTTAACCTTGGTTGTGTTTAGCTGATTTCTAGTCTGACATACGATATCGATTGTGCTTGATTTTTATGAATGCCCTAAATTGTGAAGCGGCTTAAGGCTTAGCTTACACATCTCAGATACAGGCTCTTTTTGGTGGGTAAATTGGACAATTCAGGGAACCAGCTTCAGAAAACACAGGTGGCCCTTGACTTATGACCACAATTAAGCCCCACATTTCCATGGCCAAGCAAGACAGTTGTTAAGTGAGTTTTGTGCCATTTTACAAGTTTTGCCACCGTTGTTTGATTAGTAACATGGTTGTGAAGTGAATCTGGTCTCCCATTTGACTTTGCTTGTCTGAAGGTCTCAAACAGGGATCCCATAACTCTGGGATACTCCAACTATCAAAAATACAGGCCAGTTGCCAGGTGTCCGAATTTTGATCACATGACACAGGGATGCTGCAACGGTTGTGTGAAAAAAATCATAAATCATAAATGCGACTCAGTTCTCAGGTGTCTCAAATTGGATCACGTGACCAGGGGGATTGTGCAACGGTCTTTAACGTGAGCGATGGACATCAGTCAAATTTTGGAGGGCCGTTGCAGCTTCAGCGGCCACTAAATGAATGGTTAAGTCGAGGACTACTTGTGAGGCAGCCATTATTCGTTACTATGGCACAAATTGTGAATGTTCTTCATTTGAGGAGACCTGTTGTTAGTTGAGGACTGGCATGTTAGACTCAGTGGAGAAGGCAGCCTCCTTTTCCTATCTACTTCAGTTTCCTTCCAAAAGGGGGGATTCCCTTCTAAAAGTACTGGTTCGCATCCCCTCCCCTCCTCCCGTTTCTCTGACTGCCTAGGGGTTGAACTAGAAGAGCTCCAAGGTCCCTCCCAACTAGCAATTCCCTCCTAACTTTGGTGCTCCGCATCCTCTTCCCTCCTCCCTTCCCTGGACTTCCTCCCCTCCCTCTCCCGCCTGTTTCTCTCACTTGCCTGGGTCAAAAGAAGCAATGGATTCATTGCCCAGCTGCCCATCCCACCCACCCAGGAAGGGGGGGAGAGGGGGAATGGGCAGGCAGGGGGACCCCTGAATGGGCAGCGCTCCCTGCCCTGTACAGAATGGGAGGAGCTATAAGCGCTTCCGGCTCGGGATGTGCAAACTCCTGGCTGGGGACGTTCCGGGGAGGGGGATCCACGTGCGTTGGCCGGGAAGGAAGGAAGCGTGGCCGGCGGGGCTGCGAGGAAAGCGGCGCTTTTGCATCTCTTGGAAGGAGGAACAGAGCCGCCTTTCCCTGCGGGCGCCAGGAAAGAAGCTCCTTCCTTCCTTTTCCCCACCTGGCAATCCCGAAGGGAAAATACTTGGCTGGGAGCGTTCCGGGGAGGGGGATCCACGTGCGGCGAGCGCGGATCTTTTCCTGCGCGCATCTCTCGGGGAGCGGAGTCCGGGGGAGGAAGAGAGCCGCCTCTTTCCTTTCGAGCGCCAGGTGAGAAGCTCCTTCCTTCCTTCCTTCCTTTTCTTGAAACAGATTAAACAGATAATCAGAGTTGGAAGGGACCTTGGAGGTTATCTAGTCCAACCCCCTCCCCCCCCAAGCAGGAGACCCTACACCATTTCTGACAGATGAGAGTCCAATCTCCTCTTGAGTCTGAAGTGATACAGCTCCCACAATTTCCGAGGGCAACTTCTGTTCCACTGGTTGATAGTTCTCACTTTCAGAAAGTTCCTCCTAATTTCCAGGTTAAATCTCTCCTTGTTCAGATTCCATCTATTATTCATTTCTTCCTCCCTCCCTCCTTCCTTCCAAATGCCGGGACAGGTGAGCCTTCAAGGCATCTTCTTAGGGCGCTGCTAAGATCGCTGCTGCCGTCCCCACTTTCTCCTGGGGGAGATGATTCTTATTCTCCTTTCTTTTCTGCCGGCCCTTCCTGACCGTTTCCCGTCGCTTCCTTTGCTCTGGCGCCGTTTCACATCCAGGAGGCTCGGAGTTGAAGGGCTGCGAAACCGGCGGGGAGAAAAGGGGGCGATCCCTCCCTGGAGCTGCTGTTTCGGGGAGCTGCTCAAGACGAGCCCCCTCCGGAGAGAGCATCGGCTCAAGGCTCCTCCTGAAGCCCTTCCATCTCTTCGGCCGCCTTCCTTTCCTCCTGGAATTTGTGATCATTGCTCAATTTAACAGCATTTTGTGTGCATTCAAAGAGGCGTCGCCCTTTTCCTGTGGGCCATTGTTTCTCAACCTGGGCAACCTTGTGATTTATGGGATTCAACTCCCAGAATTTCCCAGGTGTGTTGAAGTCCACATATCTCAACAGCTGCCAAGATTGAGAAACCTTGCTGTAAGCCAGGGGTGAGGAAGTTACTGTCCTTTTACAACTGTTGGACTTCAAGCCTCAGAATTCCTCAGCCAGCTGGCTCACATATTCTGGCAGTTGAAGTCCAGCTGTCATAAAAGGCCCGAGGTCCTTTTCTCTAGGCTAGCCATATCCAGTTCCTGCAATCGTTTTTCTGTGTCATTTAGTCTCAAAGCCTTTAATCCGTAGTTGCTCTTTAGAAGTTGCTTTCATTTTGTTGTTTTTTGGTCTATACCGATGACAAGAGCCTGATAAAAATCCACGGGTTTATCATAAGGATTTATACTCCTTGCAGTCATCTGTTCGGAAAGAGTCAGAACTGAAGAAGCTTCTTGGATGAGAAGAGAAACTTGTTGAAGGAAAAAATAAAGTCTAGTTGCCTTTAGAAAAATCCCCTTTGGGATAAAGAGGAATGAACACCCCAAAGTGAGAACCAGTTTTTTTTTTCAAGGAAAAACCTCTTTATGGAGATGAGGCTGAAGCTCATTTCCCAGGTCCAAGGACGTCAACATTTCTACCTTCTCAGATTGAAATTAAACCAATAGGTTCTCCATCATCAAGTCTATTGTCTTTTACTTAGAACTGAGTATTTGTATTTGTACACTATTGTTTATATATATTTTTATCCTTTTAATATAATAAGGCATCAAGGGTTTGCCTATGGCAAGCTGGAGGCCAATAAATGTAATGAATAAATGAACAAATGAATGAATGAAGTTTTCTCTTTTAAGTGTCCCTTCTGCTTCCTTTGAGCTAAATCTGAAGCAGTAGAGCTGATGGCTCTCACCCCATAAAATTTAAATGATCTTAGCCAAGATTTTCACGTTTTCATTTTGTACCGTTAAGGAAAAAAGAGACACAAAGGTCAAATTATATTCAATTTAATACCAAGCATAGCATCATGTTTTGAACAAATGGGAGTTTGGGCAAATATTGACACTGTTTGAATACAGCAGTGGTGCCTCGTGCCTTTTGCACCAAAATTTCTGTTAACTTTTCTTTTTTTATTGTTGCCAGCAGGCGACAGATGGGGGATGGAGGATTCTGGCCAAGAAGCAGCAGCTTTGCCAAAAGAAAAAAAGGAAGTTGCAGAAAAAATGTATGGAAAGCAAAGTTCAGAGGAAAACGAGTTAACAGGGGAGCTGGAGAATTGCTCTGGTTTACCTTGTCCAGATACCAGTGTCTTATTGGACCCAGATAATTGCCATGAAAAACAAATGTGTTCAAGGTGTGGGAAAACACTCTGTGATGAAGCAGGATTATGTGACTGTGGTGAAAGCCCTGCTGGAGAGAAACAAGATGAAAGCAGGCAACACCCCAGAAGGAGCCTTCCTCCTCCTTTACATGAAAGAATAAAAGAAGGAGGGAAACCGTACAAATGTACGGAGTGTGCAGAAAGCTTCGGTACAAGCCGCTCTCTTGCATTGCATAAAAAGATTCACAATGCAGAGGATCCACATAAATGTATGGATTGTGGAAGGACCTTCAGGCAGAAAAACCATCTTAATTCACACAAGAGGGTCCACAAAGAGAAACAGCAGCATCAAAGCTTCCCCTGTGGAAAGACCTTCAGAAGCAGCGTCTCCCTTATTTCCCATCAAAGCCTCCACAGACAGGAAAAGTTGCACCAACACAGGGAGGGTAGAACAAGGTTTACTCAGAGCAAGGAACCGAATTCCCGGAAAAAAAGCCCCACTGGGAAGAAATCATGTAAATGCCTGGAATGTGGGAAGAGCTTTCGCTCTGCAAGTGACCTCACTTGCCATAAGAGGATCCATACAGGGGAAAAGCCGTATCATTGCACGGTGTGTGGAAAAAGCTTTGCACAAAAGGGCAATTTCAATTTACATAAGAGGATCCACACTGGAGAGAAGCCGTATAAATGCACAGAGTGTGGAAAATGCTTCGGTGCCTCAGGTACTCTTACTTGCCATAAGAGGATCCACACAGGGGAGAAACCCTATGAATGCCTGGAGTGTGGAAAAAGTTTCAGCAGAATTGGTGCTCTAACCTTACATAATAGGATGCATAAAGGGGAGAAACCTTATAAATGTCTGCATTGTGGAAAAAACTTTAGTCAAAAAGTTCATCTTAAGTCACACGAGATGATCCACATGGGGGAAAAACCATTTGAATGCATGGAGTGTGGAAAGAGCTTCCATTGTTCTGCAACCCTTACTGCCCATCACAGAATCCACACGGGGGAGAAGCCCTTTCAATGCCTGCAGTGTGGAAGGCGCTTTTCCACTTCTGGTGGCCTTGATGCCCACAAACGGACCCACACAGGGGAGAAACCGTACAAATGCCTGGAGTGTGGAAAGAGCTTCCGTAAATCCAGCCACCTAACTTCCCACAGAAGAATCCACACTGGAGAGAAACCGTATCAATGTGCCCAGTGTGGGAAGCGGTTCACTCAAACAAGTTATCTTACTGTCCATAAAAGGACCCACACAGGTGAAAAGCCTCATAAGTGCTCTGAATGTGACAAACGCTTCACTGATTTAGGGAATCTCTATCGTCACAAAAAGCTCCACAGTGGGGTGAAACCATTTGAATGCCGCACGTGTGGAAAGAGCTTCAATACAAAAAATACCTATGACATACATAGCAGGACCCACACTGGGGAGAAACCCTATCAGTGCCCCGAGTGTGGAAAACGCTTCAGTGATTCTCGAGAACTGAGGATCCATACAAGGATTCACACAGGGGAAAAACCCTTTAAGTGCACTGAGTGTGGCATGAGTTTCAGGAGAAGTGGTTACCTTTGTACCCACAAGAGGATCCACACTGGGGAGAAACCATATACATGTTATGAGTGCGGAAAAAGCTTTAAGCAAAATAATTCACTCAGGAGCCATAGAAGGCTTCACTCAGGGGAGAAACCCTATAAATGCCTGGAGTGTGGAAAATGTTATAATGATAGTGTAAGTCTTACCTCCCACAATAGGATCCACACAGGGGAAAAACCATTTAAATGCATCGAGTGTGGAAAGAGTTTCAAAGACAGCACAAGTCTTACACTCCATAAACGAATCCACACAGGGGAGAAGCCCTATCAGTGTGTGGAGTGTGGAAAGAAATGCAGAACCAGGAGTGACCTTAATCGCCATAAGAAGATGCACAGCAGGAACAAATGATGTGAATTGGTTTGTGTTTCTTCTAAACATTTGCTTCATGTCCATAGAGGTTTTGCAGGAGATTCTGGAGAAATGCATGGAGCATGGGAAGGGCTTCCAAAGCAGCAGAAATGTCTTGATTCACTAAAAAGAAGAGTCCCCTTGTAGAACTAGGAATTAACTTTCGTTTATTAGATCTTTGTGCTGGAGTAGAGTAGAGTAGAGTAGAATAAGATTAGAAACAACAAGAATAGAAATGGAATAGAATATAGAAATAGAAATGGGGATGGAAAGGGAACTCTCCAATTGGCCAAGTGAGATTGGACATACAAGGCCTGTGTCTCCAATGCATACGCTCACAAGTGTACATAACATACAACAAATGATCAACTTTTGTCAATGCGAACAGCAAAGGGAGGAAGGGATTTGGGAACTAACACATCCGGATGTCTATGGAGATTGTCAGTCATCCAGTCTGTGGTTCCTCCCAAAGGTACTTTTATCAAAAGGCAACTGGACTTTTTTTTTCCCCTTGAGGGGATTTCCCTTCTCATCCAAGAAGTTTCTTCAGTTCTGTTTCTTCTTCAATGAGAAGCGAAATGTCTTCAAGAAGAAACAAAGTCCAGTTGACTTTTGAAAAGAAGCACTTTTGGGAGAACACCTTCAAGACAAGATGGGGACCGCCACAATGTAAAAAAGATGTTGAGACTGTAGAAAGAGTGCAGAGAATAGCAACAAAGATGATTAGGAGACGGGAGGCTAAAACAAATGAAGAATGGTTACAGGAAGTGGGTATGTCTTGTCTAGTGAAGAGAAGGACTAGGGGAGACATGATAGCAGTCTTCCAGTATCTCATGGGCTGCCAGAAAGAAGAGGGAGTCAAGCTATTCTCCAAAGCACCTGAGGGGAAGACAAGAAGCAATGGGTGGAAACTAATCAAGGAGAGAAGCAGCTTAGCACGAAGGAGAAATTTCCTGCCACTTAGAACAATTAATCAGTTGAACAACTTGCCTCCAGAATTTGTGAATGCTCCAACACTGGAAGTTTTTAAAAAGATGTTGGATAACGATTTGTCTGAAGTGGTGTAGGGTTTCTTGAATAGGCAGGAAGACCACCAAGGTCCCTTCCAACTCTGTTATTCTATTCTATTCTACAACATCAGGGTGCAGAAAGCTGGTTTAGGGCAGGCTACTTCAATTTACAAGTTCAAATCTCACCAGACTGAAGGTTGGCTCAACCTTCCATCCTTCCGAGATGGATAAAGTGAGGACCCAAATTGTTGGGACAATATGCTGACTCTATAAACTGCTTACAGAGGGGTGTAAAGTACTGTAAAGAGGTATATAAGTCTATTTCTATTGCAATCTAAGTGGTGAGGTCCAGACCTTGCGGTGTTGACTCCCCACGTTTCCCTAATGTTGGAAGGAATCAAGCAGTGGATCTACTACACCCATGTGGAGAAAGTCAGGCCAGAACAAAGAGTAGCAGGATCTCCAGTGAGCTCTTCACTGGGAGAAAGTGATGGAAGAGAATGAACTAATGAACAAATACAAGACTCAAGAGTTGTGTCAAAAGTGATAACTGGAGGAATGGCACTGTGTGTCTGCACCACCTTTAACCTTGGTTGTGTTTAACTAATTTCTAGTCTGAGATACGATATTGATTGTGCTTGATTTTTATTAATGCCCTAAATTATGCAGTAGCTTAAGGCTTAGCTTACACATCTCAGATACAGGCTCTTTTTGGTGGGTAAATTGGACAATTCAGAGAACCAGCTTCAGAAAATACAGGTGGCCCTTGACTTATTACCACAATTAAGCCCCAAATTTCTATGGCTAAGCAAGACAGTTGTTAAGTGAGTTTTGTGCCATTTTACAAGTTTTGCCACAGTTGTTTGGTTAGTAACATGGTTGTGAAGTGAATCTGGTCTCCCATTTGACTTTGCTTGTCTGAAGGTCTTAAATGGGGATCCCATGACCCTGGGATACTCCAACTATCAAAAATACAGGCCAGTGGCCAAGTGTCTGGATTTTGGTCACACGACACAGGGAATGCTGCAACGGTTGTGTGAAAAAAATCAAATGTTTTTCAGTGCCGTTGTAACTTTGAACGGTCACTGAAGAAATGATTGTAGGTTGGAGACTAATTGTAAAGCAGCAATTGATTATTTCTGACTAAGGCAGAATCATGAATGTGAAAAAAGTTTGGTTTCAATCTGAATGACAATTGTCCATTCATTGAAACCCGTCTGGGAAAACATAGGGAAGGAATTTCGTAACATCAACATTGGACAGCGCCTAGACTAACGTATTTTAAGACTTGTGGACTTCAACTCCCAGAATTCCTCTGGCACACATGTTACTATGCTAGCTGGGGGATTCTGGGAGTTGAAGTCTATGAGTCTTAAAAGTTGCCAAGTTTACAAGCACTGTCTTAGACTTATGGAATTTTGGAATTATGGTCTTGTTTCTTGTGCCTTCTTTCTGTAAAGTATTTCAATGTCCAATACATTGAAAATGGAGAAAGAATTACAGTCCATATTTCCTTGCTCTTCCAAAAAAGGATTACAAGCATTATGAGACTCCAGAATCTTCTAAATAAAAACTTAAAAACTCAAGATGGACTATGGGAGGAGGCAAAAGGCCCAAATAGGAGAGATTTAAACACCTTGAAAAAGAAGTAGGCTGTAAATAGGAAACATCATGGAAAGCTATGCTGTATTACTACCAAAACGACATTTACAAACGCATTGAGGTTTCTCTGTGCACACATTAGGATAGATTTAAATCGCTTGGCGGAGCTCTGTGTTACATATACCGGTATGCAAGAATGCTAAGATGTGAGTGTAAAACAGGCAGGAATTGCTGTAAAGGGAGATGAGAAAATTCTGACTCTGAAACTTGTAAACTGTGTGGCAATCGCTGTGTAAAGCCCTCCAGTGGCCGTTGGTGGGGTACAAAGGCTTTGAGGGAGATTTCCTTGTGTTACTTTTTCAGTGGAATAAAGTTTTTGCTTACAATCTTGTCTTCACTGTGTTCAATTTGAGGCTGGGCACATCTGGCAAAGCGCCTGGAGCAGGAAGTGAGGAAAACCAAAAGTGCCTTTGAGTTCAGAAGATTTTTTGTCCTTCTTTCAGCCATTTTGGAAGTGCAATTCTTGAGTGGGAAATGGGGAATCCTCCAGGATCCTCTTCTCTGCAAACTGGAAGCAGCTTCATTAGGCTTGGAGCCGCTTTAAATGGGAGAAATATTTTTAAGAGGTAATTGACTTATGACCCCAAGTGAAGCACCAACTTTTGTTGTTAAGTGAGATGCTTGGTAAAGTGAATTTTGCTCCATTTCGTGACCTTTCTTGCTACAGTTGTTAAGCGAATCACTGTTAAATTAGCAACACGGTTGTTAAGTGAATCTAGTTTCCCCATTGACGTTGCTTGTCGGAAGGTCGCAAAAGGTGATCATGTGACCCCTGGATTCTGCAAAGGTCATAAATGCGATTCAGTTCCCATGTGCCTCAATTTGGATCATGTGACAAGGGGGATTCTACAAGGGTCTTTAGTGCAAATGAAAGACATCAGTCACTTTTTTGGGGGGGGCGCCGTTGCAGCTTCCAAGGGCCGCTAAACGATGGTCATTAAGTTGAGGATTACTTGTGAGGCAGCCATTCGTTGTTATGGCACAAATCGTGAATGAGACAGGTTAGTTGACAACTGCCCTGTTAGACTCAGTGGAGAAGGCAGCCTCCTTTTCCTGCCTACTCCACTTTCCTTCAAAAGGGGGTTCCCTCCTAACTTTGCTGCTCGGCATCCCTTTCCTTCCCCTCCTCCCCTCCCTGGGCTCCGTCCACTCCCTCTCTCTCCCCTTTCTCTGAGCCAAAGAAGCAACGGACTCCCGGCCCAGTTCATCATCCCACCCAGGAGGACCCCCGAGTGGGCGGCGCTCTCCGCGGTGTAGAGAATGGGAGGAGCTGGACGGAGAGGGGAGGAGCTATAAGCGCTTCCCAGATTGGGCTCTGCAAGCTCCTGGCTGGGGTCCTTCCGGGGAGGGTATCCACGTGCGCGGAAGGGAAGGAAGGAAGCGTGTCCAGCGGCGATCGCGGATCCTTTCCTGCCCGCATCTCTTGGAGAGTGAATTCCAGTCGAGGAAGAAGCCGCGTGTTTCCTATTGAGAGCCAGGTAGAAAGTTCCTCCCTCCCTTTTCCTTCCTTCCTTCCTTCCTTCCTTCCTTCCTTCCTTCCTTCCTTCCTTCCTTCCTTCGAAATGCCGGGACAGGTGAGCCTTCAAGGCAGCTTCTTGGGGTGCTGCTATGATCGCTGCTGCCGTCCCAACTTCCTCCTGGGGGAGATGATTCTTATTCTTTTTTTCCCGGCTCTTCCTGACCGTTTCCCGTCGCTTCCTTTGCTCTGGGGCCGTTTCACATCCAGGAGGCTCGGAGTTGAAGGGCTGCGAAACCGGCAGGGAGAAAAGGGGGCGATCCCTCCCAGGCGCTGCTGTTTCGGGGAGCTGCTGAAGACGAGCCCCCCCCCCCGGAGAGAGCATCAGCTCAAGGCTCCTCCGGACGCCCTTCCATCTCTTCGCCCGCCTTCCTTTCCTCCCGGAATTCGCTTCCATCGTTCAATTGAACTGCATTTACAAAGCCTTTTAGTGCATTTAAAAAGGCATCGCTCTTTTCCTGTGGGCCATTGTTTCTCAACCTGGGCAACCTTGTGATTTATGGGCTTCCACTCCCAGAATTTCCCACGTGTGTTGAAATCCACATATCTCAACAGCTGCCAAGTTTGAGAAACGTTGCTGTCATCCAGGGGTGAGGAAGTTATGGCCCTTTTATGACTGGTGGACTTCAAGTCCCAGAATTCTTCAGCCAGCTGGCTCACGTATTCTGGGAGTCGAAGTCCAGGCATTATCAAAGGCCCTTAGTTCCCCACTTGTGTCCCAGCTGTGAAAAAAGATTTTGTAGTCTTCCTTGATTATCTCATAAGGGAAGGTGCACATTATAGCAACATAGAATAACAGAGTTGGTGATTTAATGCACACATTCATGGCTGAGATAATCTGACTCTGAATCTAATCCCTGGTCCTTCCACACCTTTCAGTTTTTCTCTCACCCAGAATGAGCTTCTGTGTGTTGTTGCTGTGGCTGCAAAGGACTCACCTAAAGGGGTTCCCTAGTTAATCTAGAAATAGGCTAAAATCAGCCTTTTGCACTGGATGCTCAAGAATATCCTTAGGATGTTTGATAGCCAATTATTCCTTTGCTGTTTGTTCCCCTCTCCTAGACCCTCTCATGGCCATGGCTTCATCTCCCAGAACCCCAGTTCTTTGTAATGGAGGATCAACAGCAGCTGAGCTTCCAACGGAGGTAGGAGGATTTTCCTCTCACCTCCCCAGATGTGCCAATCTCCCAATAACAGACTAACACAATTGGAAGGGATTTTGGAGATCTTCTAGTCCATCCCCCTGTTTCAAGCAGGAGACCCTATAACCTTTCACACAAGTGGCTGTCCAGTTTCTCCTTAAAAATCTCCAGCCCAAAACTTCTGAATTCCAGGTTGCCTTTCTCCACGATTAGTTTCCATCCATTGTTTCTTCTCGTGCCTTTTGATGCTTTGGAAAATAAGTTGAGCCCCCACGTTTGTGGAAACCCCTCAAATATTGAAACACTGCTATTGTGTCTCCCTTGGTCCTTCTTTTCTCTGGACTGGCCATATCCAGTTCCTGCATAAGATAGTCAGGAACACAGGAACATCATGAGGTAAATCTAAAACAACTGTCAGTGTTCCAGAAAACCTCAACTCCAACAAATAGCTCCTTTTATTAAGAGTAGTAAAATGGTACATCTGGGAAATCCCGAATGTGAAAATTATGGGTTTCCCTGCAATAAGTAAAAAATTACAAATCTACCCCTTGTACCCCTCATGGCATCAACATGCCCCAATCACCATCCATCCCAACTTCAGACGTCCTCTCAATCACTCCTCAGCCAGGTGCAGAAATAACATGACCTTGACTTAGAAGAAGAATGCTATTATGTCTAACCACATAGCTCCAAGAAATTATCCCCTCCCATATTCCCAGGCTCAAGAATGTGGAAGCGTCTGGTGCTAATATGGCTTCCAAAGCTGACAGCATCAAGCAGAACAGAGAGAAGGGAAAAAGGAGGGGGGAAAGGAAACACCCCCTTTATACTTGCAGCAACCAATCTTAGTGTAGATGTGGCCTTACTAAGGTCTAATAAAGCAGTGCTAATATTAATCCCAAAGTGAAAAGAAAAGGCCAAGCTTTACTTCTGTACAGAAATTAAATGTTGAACCCCACTTTCCTTGATTCGTTTTGATTCATCCGCTCAGTGCTGTGGGTAAAATTAACCCAGTGTTGCGTTGGGCTAATGTATCCAAAGGTCAAGCCCGTCAATGGACAACACAAAGTAATTTGGGGTTGCTGCTCCTGTGGAATCGTCCAAACCAATAAAACATTAACTAGAGGTATTTCTAGCCAGAGGCACTTTGCTTAAACGTTCTCCAGAGAAAATGTTCTGTCAAGGAAATTCTACTGCAGTTGTCCAAATAAAGTTGGAGACACTGACTTGTAGTCCTTTATATACAAATGACATGCAAATTTACAGCAGTCTTTGTCACCATCCAGAAAAGGAAGAACATATGATAGTCAGGAAAACAGAGGAACATCCTGAGGTAAATCCAAAGCATCATGCAGAACACAGAGTGGGGAAAAAGGAGGGAAAAAAGGGAAACGCCTCCTTTCCACTGACAACAACCAATCATAGGGTAGATTGCATCTTGCATGAGTGAGCACTCTCTAATCAATTACAATTGTGTAATTGCCTATTTTAGACTTTACTGTTCCAGCAACTAAATTCAATATCCTATATGCTTGTTTGCCCTACTTGGAAACTGTGGAAGTTTTTCATTAAGAAGAAAAGTCACATGTAATTGACTGGAGTGTTCATTGTTAGGAATATTCATGGAAAGAGTTGTGTTTTTTCCCCTTCCCTGTGTCAGGATTTGGTATCATTTGAGGATGTAGCTGTGTTTTTCTCCGTGGAGGAGTGAGCCCTGCTGGATTCTGAGCAAAAAGCTCTGTACGGAGAGGTCATGCTGGAAAACAAGAGGAACGTGGTCTCATTAGGTAAGGGATTCTGTTAAGGTATTTAAATTTAGTAGCCAAAGGTCAAATATTCAAATATCATCTTAATAGCAAGCATAGCATCATGTTTGGAACAAATGGGAGTTTGGAAGAAGTTTGATACCCTTCAAATACAGCAATGGTGCTTGATTACTTTCGCACTAAAGGTTGTGCTAACTTTTCTTTTTTTATTGTTGCAACCAGGTGACAGATGGGAGACGGAGGTTTCTGGCCAAGATGCAGCAACGCCTTTGCCAAAAGACAAAAAGGAAGTTGCAGAAAAGACGTATGGAAAGCAAAGTTTGGAGGAAAACCAGTTAACGGGGGAGCTGGAGAATTGCTCTGGAGTATTTGGTATTAAGGGAGAATCCTGATTGTTCATAGTTCTATAGAAATACGTTGTAAGTTGAGGACTCCCCTGTCAGAATAAGGCCTGCAGACAGACTCCCTTTTCCTGACAACAGGAGGAGTTTTGAAGGAGGAGATTGGACAACCCTTTGCCTGTGATGGTACTACAGGGTTTCCAGCCTGAGCAGGGGGTTGGACTAGAAGACCTCCAAGGTCCCGCCCAGCTCTGTTATTCTGTAATTCCCTCCTAACTTTGCTGCTCCACATCCCCTTCCTTTCCCTCCTCCTGTCCCTGGGCGTCGTCCCCTCCCTCTCCCCCCTGTTTCTCTGACCGCCTTGGGAGAAGCAGCCCTGGACCCCCTGTCCAGCTGACCCTCCCAATGGGGAATGCTTCTCCCGGGCAGATGGAGTGGGGGCGGACAGGGGAAGTCCCGAGTGGGTGGCGCCTTCGGCCCTTTCGGGAATGGGAGGAATTGGATGGGGAGGGGAGGAAGTATAAACATTTCCTGCTTGGGCTCTGCAAAGTCCTGGCTGGGACCCTCCTGAGAAGGGGAATCCATGGGCGGTGGCAGGAAGGAAGGAAGGGAGCATGGCTGCTGCAAAGAAAGCAGATCGTGGATCTGTTCCTGCGCGTATCTCTTGAGCGGAGTCCGGACGAAGAACAGAGCCACCTGTTTCCTTTTGAGCGCCATGTAAGAAGCTCCCTCCCTCCCTCCCTTCTTCCTTCCTTCCCTTTTCCCACCTGGGGAAATGCCTGGACAGGTGAGCCTTCAAGGCAGCTTCTTGGGGCGTTGCTAAGATCGTGCCTGCAGTCCCCACTTTCTCCTGGGGGTGATGATTCTGCCGGCCTCTCCCGATTGTTTCCGGCCACTTTTTCCCCTCTGGGGCTCTTTCAGGCCCAGAAGGCTCGGGGTTGAATGGCTACTAAAGCAGCCGGAGGGAAAGGGGGCGATCCCTCCCAGGCGCTGCTGTTTCGGGAAGTTGCTCAAGACAAGCCCCCGCCGGAGAGAGCATCGGGTCAAGGCTCCTCCTGACGCCCTTCCATCTCTTCGCCCGCCTTTCTTTCCTCCTGGAATTCAGTTCCATCTTCCCTGATTATCTGATAAGGGAGGATGAACATTGTACATAGAATAACAGAGTTGGAGGGTCCTTGGAGGTCTTCTAGTCCAACCCCCTGCTTAAGGAGGAGGAGTCTATACCCTTTCAGACAGGAAGCTGCCCAGTCGCTTCTTAAGAGCCTCCAGTGAGGGAGCACCTTAGTCAGGATTCTGGTGATCAATCGATTCTTCCCTTGAAAGGGCTGAAATAAAGGACCCATGTCCCATATCTGGGGTAGGGCGATAGAGAAACTCACCAATCTTAGCTCAGCATGAATTCTTTGGTGCCTTCCTTACTGCATCTCCTGTCAATCAAAGAGCTGCATTTCCTACTGATGTCACCTAAACATAAAAGCATTAAAGAAACCCTTCTAGGTCTTTCCCAGCCCTTGTCCAAATCTGTAGTCCTCGACTTATGATCACAATCGAGCCCAAAAGGTCTGTTGCTTGGCGAGAGAGTTGCTCAGCGAGTTTTGCCCCCTTTTACGATCTTTCTTGCTTCAGTCGTTAAGTGCACCACGCTGCAGTTCTTGAGTTGGTAACACCAACAGTGGTGAAGGGAATCTGTTTTCTCTATTGACTTCACTTGTCGGAAGGTTGCAAAAGGGGATCAATGACCCTGGGACAGGGCAACCATCACAAATAGGAGCCAGTTGCCCAGGGTCTGAATTTAGATCAGGGCACTGTGGGGAGGCTGCAACGGCCGTGTGAAAAGCTGTCGGGTCATTTTTTTCAGTGCTGTGGTCACTAAATGAATGGCTATAATTCAAGGACTTCCTCTATATGTGAGAGAGAATTGGACTCTGCCTCTTTTGTTGGTGCCAGGCCAGATCAAGTACTCCTGATTAACAACTCAGCACAACTCCCTGGATATGGGAGGGGATCTGCTTGAGGCCTCCAGAGTCAAGCTCTGTGGTCCTTTAATGCACACATTCATGGCTGAGATAATCTGCCTTTGAATCCAGTCCCTGGTCCTTCCACACCTTTCAGTTTCCCTCTCATCCTACATGCTCCTTTGCCCTACTTGGAAACTGTGTAGGTTTTTTTTTATTAAGAAGAAGACTCGCATGTAATTTACTGAAGTGTTCATTGTTAGCAATATTAATGGAATACGTTGTGGGTTTTTTCCCCCCTCCCTGTGTCAGGATTTGGTATCATTTGAGGATGCAGCTGTGTTTTTCCCCATGGAGGAAGGAGTCAGCCCTGCTGGATTCTAAGCAAAAAGCCTGACACCTAGAGATCATGCTGGAAAACAAGAGTAACATGGCCTCCTTAGGTAAGGGGTTCTGTTAAGTTACAGTATTTAATAGTTATTTAATAGCTGGAAAAGAGTTGTACAAGGAGTCAGAACACACAGTTACAGCTGATTGGTTGGAGAGAGCCGTCTCCTGCATGAGGCAAACTATGCTGTGATTGGTCAATATGAGTGTAAAGTGTTTCCCGCCTTTTTTCCTCTGTGTGTTCTGTAATTTTACCTCAGGATGCTCCTCTTAGCCTGATGATCTCATTTATTGTAAATATTGATGTAAAATATATTGATTATAAACATATTCATTTTACATACATACATACATAGATACATAGATACATAGATACATAACATTAATTTATATAAAGTTTGTGTCAGCATCTCTGACTTCATTTGGATACCTACTCAGCAATTCCCTGACAGGTTTTTCCCCCGGTCTGAAAGGGTGTTGGATATGAGCAGCTCAGATAAAAGACTTAATCTGTTCTATGTATGCAGTAGATAAGAGTGTCCTTCTCTATATTTCTACTCCTACTTAGTCTGATAAAATGGCCTTAAATCTCCACACTGTCTCCATGAAGTTTCCCATCCTAGCCTGTTTCCCATCCTGCCTGTCTCACTTTGTAAAGAGCTTCTTAGAAGTTCCTTTCATTTTGTTGCTTTTGGTCTATAATGATGACACTTAAGAGCCCGATAAGAATCCATGGGTTTATCACGAGGATTTATACTCCTTGCAGTCATCTGGTCGGGAAGTGCTTACAACCAAATGCCTGCAAGGAACATCAATCCTTCCATCTTCCACCATTCAATCAGAACTGAAGAAGCTTCTTGGATGAGAAGGGAAACATGTTCAAGGAAAAAAGAAAGTCCAGCTGCCTTTAGAAAAAGCCCCTTTGAGAGAAAGAGGAATGAACACCCCAGAGTGAGAACTAGTTTTTTTTTTTTCAAGGAAATGCCCCTTCATGGAGAAGAGGTTAAAGCTTATTTTCCAGGTCCAAGGATCTCAACATTTCTACCTTCTCAGATTGAAATTAAACCAACAGATTCTCCATCATCAAGTCTATTGTCTTTTACTTAGGACTGAGTATTTATATTTTTACACGATTTTATTGTTTATATAGTTTTTATCCTTTTAATATAATAAGGCATCAAGGGTTTCCCTATGGCAAGCTGGAGGCCAATAAATGTAATGAATGAATGAATGAAGGCCTCTTTTAAGTGTCCCTTTTGCTTCCTAAAAGCTAAATCTGAAACAGTAGAGCTGATGGTTCTCACCCCATAAAATTTAAATGATCTTAGCCAAAATTTTCACGTTTTCATTTTGTACCATTAAGGAAAAAACAGACACAAAGGTTAAATTTTATGTCAACTTAATACCAAGCATAGCATCATGTTTTGAACAAATGGGAGTTTGGAAGAATATTGATACTGTTTGAAAACAGCAATGATGCTTGATGCCTTTTTCACCTAAGTTTCTGTTAACTTTTCTT